TGCAGTGTAATTGGAGTTGGGCGCTAGGGTGGCAATCACCTGAATAAGGTCCTATTGTTGAGAGAATATCAAAAAGAAATCAAGCTGACTCACCTTTTCAGTTTCGTTCGGAAGTAATGCGATACGGTACTTTCGCGCTGGCAGAACATCCCGCCAGAATTCTATCTGAAAGCCACAGTTTGCCAAAAGTCAACTAATAAAATATAGAATAAAGCATAGTATGTTGATCTTTCCTATTTTGAGATGCGCCACGCATTCCACTACTAATCAGAATCGCTGCGTTGTTTGATTATGACCTGGCAGTTCAACGACTAGCGGGAATAGCGGATGCACGAATGAATTCTCACTCCCCAGACGGTACCGGAGGGTCCCATGATAAGTTTGGAAGTCGAAGAAAGGAAAATATACCCAATCGAAAGGCAGGCAGGCCCTTGAAAGGGTGCGGAACAATGCAGGCTTCGACGAACCAGCGAACCGCTTCGTTCCCAGCGGTGACCATACCCGCGCACCTGTCCGCCCACAACTTTACTATCTCAATTTAGCCCTTCTAGCAGAGAGAGCGTTAGGGATGAGATCAATAGCGATGCGACACGCTCAACGCACAACTCAATGGACAGAAAGAGGTCTCACTCAGCGAATTTCAGGCCGTTTTTCTTGGTTTTTTCTTTATACTTGCATCAGAGACCACATCCACCGTGACTTCTAATAAGCTGTCTCTTCATCGTAATGCTTCACCTTTGAGGATTCCACGATAAGGCTCGAAGAAGGTGAAAGGCAGGTGGGCCCTTCAAGACTGCAGGACGATGCAAGTTTTGCAGCGAAATTTATGCCTGCAGCAGCCCGCAAAGCCGCACTTACACTCGTAGCTCTGCATGCTCGCCGATGGGTAATCCTCGCTGCCTGACTGTTAGACGTTCAGGAGAGCGTTAACGTTGAAGAGGGCAGTACCCAAGAGAGTAGCGCCAGTGCGGAAGTCAAGGAGTCCCATTCCTTGGGCACTGAGCCGCTTCCCATGATTTTTTTCGTACCAGCACCCCTGGCCACCTCTGCCTTGATTTCTAATGGGCTGCCTTTTCACGTGAACTCCGGCCTTATGAGCAACCTTGAAAAGGCGAAAGGTTGTTTGGCACGAATTAGCTAACAACTGAACATCAGAAATGATGAATTATGTCTGCTGCCACTATTCAGTACTAGCCGCTCATAAATTAGTGCTGAAAATGAAGCACCAGATCGCGTAGTGATCAGGAGCAGCAATTGTGGAATAACTAGCGGAATATTTTGGCCCTTTCTCGACTTCGACGATCGAATCCTACTTAGATATTTTGGCCTCCCATCATTCAAAGCCGACCAATTTTTCGTACCTATCTGGCAGAAGAATAAGAACACAAAGAAGAGCAAGAGCACTTGTCAAGCTACAGTAACCAGTGCGTGCCAATGCGCGCGCCTAATTTTTTTCAACATCCAAGATTCTGAGCGAGGTGGAGCGTGTGGCGGATTCCAAAGCTTGTGCTGATGTGGGTCAGGGACTACTCCATTGAACTTCATGTATAAAAAAGGATAAAGGATAAAGCATTTGCCGTTGATCAATCCCTTTTTGGGATGCGGCACGCATTCTACTTCCATTTGTACATTCGTAGTGGCGTTTGAATGCGATGTGGCCTATACAATGACTTGCGGGGGCCAGCCGATGTTACAAGTCAGTGTTTTTATCCTCCCAGACAAGTCTGGTACCAATTAACCGACCCCGGAGGGATGGAAGGCTTGGTTGGCCCGGGCGACTCACGACCCAGGATTTGATCCCCGGACCGCTCGCGTGGTAAGCGTGCCACTTGCCACTACACCACTTCCGCCCAAAATTTCTTTATTTTATAATGGTGGCTATGTACACGTGTAGTATGTACGGTACCTGGCTGTCAGGAAACCTTAATGATCTCGCCTAGACGCCATTATAAAACACAACTTTTTATGTTTAAAGTTTGCAGAAATGTGTTCACGTTGTAAATATTTGGGTCACAATTATCGAACTTCATGTAATTGCCAAAAATCTAAAATCTCACCTCATAACCACGAAAGAATCCATTCACAGTCGATTCCTCTACCGCTTCCCATTTGAAGCTGACTGTCGAGAAATTTACGACCTTCTCAACTCGAAAGTTGTTTGGTGGAACAGATGGAACTGAAAAATAGTCTTCCACTTAGCCATAGGGATCTTGAATAATCAGGCTCGTACAGTACTGCCATATTGAATTCCTCAGTGTTATGCATAGCACAAAAGTAGCGCAAAAGGTTGGGGATGTTTCACACCAAACCAATAATAATGAAAGTCGTTGGTGATCTGAGGGTATTATTGGCTCAGCATCCACTATCCTCTCCCCTGTAAAAGTTAAGGATACCGCAGGTAGACGAAATAGCATAGATAGCCATAGACCAAGGTTGCAGACAACCACCGACCAGAGTCACCATTTGTTAGAATGTGACTGGTGGATAGGCACCGAATTGAGGTTTAGGGATTTTCAGGAGGGTTTTATGTGAAGCGTTTTTAATTTACTGTTGTGGGTGTGATGCTTTGTAAACCCGCTCCTCCCCTCCCCTCTCCCTTCCGTCGTGGAACTGAATGTTCGAATGTTTCAAGTTATTGCAGGTATAACGGCAATATAAACACCACCGAAATATGTAGGAAGAAGACGTAAACCCCTTAAGGTGGTCGTAAAACTTAAAGGCAAGCCCCGGATAAAAATGGTGTATAAGAGCGCTTCGTAGTGATGACTGAGCTGCGGAACGACCTGAAAGTGGAAAGGAAAGCAAGAATCTTTGGGAACGCTGAAATTAAGGCCTTAACCTTCAGTAAGGTCGGATGTGGTACGATGGCGAGACAGGGCGATCAAAGAAGACAAAACACGCGAGAGATCACGCCGTTTGAGAGAGCACGCTGATCTCTACATCAATCGCGGTGGGTGGGAAGCGTTGCAACGGGGGTCGATGGTTGCAGGCCCGTAAGGATTAGCGCCCTAACCGCGCAATTTTGCGACGAAGCTGGCATGATCTAGGTAGGTACGGACCCTACAATTTCCCTCGCGGTATCCTTCCTTCTAGTCGGCCTGTGGTTTGCCTTAAAATAGTACCTGCAGTATCCTCAGCTACTACCGCAACGTGGCGGTTGACCCCGCCACCAACTCCATCATCATTGGAGCGCTAACAAAGATATTCCACAAAAAGTTGGTCATTATCATTTTCGCTGCGAAAGACTGCTTACGTAGAAGGAATAATTCACAAACCGTCTTCTCCAGAGAAACCTTTCACAGTGTCCGGCTCAAGAATACTAGGTCCAATGGCATTAACAGCTCGCACTTGAACTTGGAACCGACGAAACGTTGGCTGTTCGCGGATAATGGTATGATTCTGAAGGAAAACAATTTGCATTACAGTAGCCTAAGCCTTTGAGGCACTTCATAAAATAGGCTTATTGAGCGTGGCGACAAAAAAAATTGTGTGCGGTACAGAGATGGTAGCGCACTGTCGAAAAACCGGGCTTCATCCTTGAAGGTCTTTTCAGGAGGGTATTATGGTTTGGTTTGAATAAAGAAAATCAGGATGGTTCTATTTATTTATTTATTTATTTAATATGCACTCGAGGCGCACCATCGGCAACAACCAGAAAAACAAACCGAA